CCTGTAACACATGGAGGCTATACAACACACTATTGAATCAAAAGTGGGTCATGAAAGAGCTTAGAAATGAAATTCAACTGTTCATGATATTCAATAAAAATGAACACATGAATTACCAGTTCCTCATGGACACAGCAAAGGTGGTACTCAGAGGCAAGTTTATAGCTCTGAATTCCTACATCAACAAATTGGAGAGATCTGAAACCAACAATTTAATGAGATATCTGAGCCTCCTTGGAAAAGAGCAGCAAGATAAACCCCAATCCATTAGATGGAAAGAAATAATTAAAATTAAATCAGAGTATAATGAATTAGAATCCAAATAAACCATAGAAAGAAGCAACAAAACAAAGAGTTGATTCTTGGAAAAAATTAACAAAATTGACTGACTCATAGCAAATCTTATAATAGAAAGAAGAGAACACACCCAAATAAATAAACTCAGAAATGAGAATGGAAATGTCACCACAGAAACTACCAAGATTCAGAACATTATAAGGGAATACTTCTCAGAACTTTATGCTTATAAGTTTGAGGACTTGGTAGAAATGGACCTTTTCCTAGCAAATCTCGACATGCAGAAACTACACAAAGATGAGTTAAACTATCTTAATGGGCCCATATCAAGCCTTGAAATAGAAACAGCAATTAGAGGGGCTGGGAAGGTGTCTCAGTGGTAGAGCGCTTGCCTTGCATGCATGAGGCCCTGGGTTTGATTCCTCAGAACCACATAAACAAAAAGAAAAAAGCCGGAAGTGGTGCTGTGGCTCAAGTGGTAGAGTGCTAGCCTTGAGCTGAAGAGTTGAGGGAAATTGCCCAAAGCCCAGAGTTCAGGCCCCACTACTGGACACCCCCCCCAAAAAAAAACAGAAACAGCAATAAGAGACCTCCCATCTAAAGAAAGCTTAGGAAGAGTTGGTTTTACATTTTAATTCTACAAGGCCTTCAAAGCGCAGCCCAAACCAATTCTCATCTGACTCTTCAATGAAATTAAAGAGAACATTCACTACCGAATGAAGCCATCATAACCATCATCCCAAAACCACGCAGGGACTCATCAAAGAAAGAGAACTATAGAACCATTTCTTTGATGAATATTGATGCAAAATTCCTTAACAAAATTTTGGCCAATCGACTGCAAGAATTCGTCCAAAATATCATACACCATGATCAAACCGGATTCATTTCAGAGATGCAAAGCTGGTTCAAAATCCACAAATCAACTAACATAATTCATCACATCAACAATTGCAAGGATAAGAACCACATGGATTTCTCAATAGATGCAGAAAAAGCATTTGACGAGATTCAACCCGCCTTGATTATGAAGGTTCCAGGAAAACTAGGAATCCATAGAACATTCCTCAATACAATAAACGCTTTACATGACAAACCTACAGCCAGCATTCTACTTAATGGTGAAAAACTAAAGATACTTACTCTTAATTCAGGAACGAGACAAAGATGTCCACTCTGTCCACTTGTTTTCAGTATTAGAATGCCTAGTTACAGCAATAAGACAAGATCCAAATATAAAGGGGATCCCTCTTTGGATATGATATGTTCTTGTTTTTAAGAATCCCACAGACTCCACTCCCAAATTACTCAAGCTGATTCAAAACTTTGGCAAAGTAGCAGGGTATAAAATTAACCCGCAAAAATCAATGGCTTTCCTGTATGCCAACAATGAGAAAATCATAGCTGAAATAAGGAAAGCAACTCCATTCTTAATAGCCCCACAAAAAAATAATATACCTAGAAATTAACTTAACCAATGAAGTGAAGGACCTCTATGATGAAAACTTTAAAACACTGAAAAAGGAAATCAAAACAGAATTTAGAAAGTGGCAAAAGCTTCCATGCTCCTGGATTGGAGCATCGTGAAAATAGCAATACTTCCCAAGGCTATGTATAAATTGAATGCAATACCTATTAATATTCCAAACTCATTTTTCAAGGAAATAAAAGAGGCAATCCAAAAATTCATATGAAATAATAAAAGACCCCGAATAGCTAAAACGATCCTTAACAGAAAGAACAATGCTGGAAGAATATCAATACCAAATGTTAAACTCTACTACAAAGCCATAGTAATCAAAACAGTGTGGTATTGGCACAAGAACAGACCTCAGGACCAATAGAATATAATTGAAAACTCAGAAATGAACTTACAAACCAGTAGCAATCTAATCTTCAATAAGGGAGCTAAAAAAATAGAATGAAAGAAAGACAGCCTCTCCATTAAATGGTGCTGGCCAACGTGGTTAACTACCTGTAGAAATCTAAAGTAGATCGTTATATAGCACCCTGCAGCAGAATCAACTTCAAATGGATCAAAGACTTCGTAGTCAAAGCAGACACTCTGAAAACATTTCATGACAGAATAGGAGAAACCCTAGGTCTCCTTGGCGTAGGCTGAAATTTTCTTAATAGAGACCCAGAAACACAACAAATCAAAGAAAGGTTGGACAAATGGTATTGCATGAAATTGCAGAGCTTCTGCATGCCAATGGACATAGCTACCAATATCCATAGAAAGCCCACGTATTGGGAGAAGAGCTTCACTAGCCATACAATGGACAAAGGTCTCATATCTAAAATATACCAGGAACTCAAAAAATTAAATCCCCCAACAACAAATCCTCAAATAAACAAGTGCACAATTAATAAGTGGGTTAAAGACTTAAAGAGAAACTTCTCTGAAGAGGAAAGAAGGATGGCCAATAGACACATGAACTTCAACTTCCCTAGCCATAAAAGAAATGGAAATCAAGCATTGAGATACCACCTCACCCCAGTTAGAATGGCTATAATCAAGAACTCTAATAACAACAGATGCTGGAGTGGTTGTGGACAGACGGGAACATTACTGCATTTTTTGTGGGAGTGTATACTTGTTCAACCACTTTGGAAAGCAGTATGGAGGTTATTCAAAAGACTCCACATAGAGCTCCCCTATGACCCAGGAATCCCACTTTGGGGCATTTACCCAAATGATCACAACAAGACCATACTAAAGCTACCAGCACGACTATGTTTATTGCAGCATTATTTACCATAGCTAAGATATAGAACCAACCCAGGTGCCCCTCAGAAGAGAAATGAGCCAAGAAAATGTGGTATATATACACAATGGAGTTCTACGCCTCCATCAGATAGAACGACTGTTCCCCATTCATTAGGAAATGGAGAGACTTGGAAAAAGAATATATTAAGTGAAGCTAGGCCCAAAGAAACATAGATCTCATTTTTTTCCTTATTTGCATTAACTAGTATATGTCTGAGACAAACAGAAAAGGTCAGATAAGTTGATGTTAGGTGAAATGAACCCCAAGATAAGTATTCAAATGTTTTGGCTTCTATGTGATTGTTTCTAACATATTTATAAGATGATTTCATTGTTGCTTTATATTCCCTCCCCCATGGTAAAACCCCTGCTTTTACTGTATTTGATGGTGATATAAGTTGTAGAGGGAAAGGGAAATAACAAATTGTGTAAATAGGATTACAGGTGGACCCATTACAACAATGATATGTACAAATCGTTATGTCAAAAAACGAACCTTACAACTTTGTCCGGGGTGGGCAGGGGGATGCGGGCTTGGGGAGGTGGGAAGGTATGGTAAGTGGAAACAAAGAAGGAAGCCACAATGCTTGGTAAGAAACGTATTCATTATCTTGCCCATGTGATTGTAATACTTCTGTACGGTAATTTCACAATAAAAAAAGAATAAAGTCAACATTGACAAGTCAAAACAAAATAATTGCAGGCATTTGTTCATCAAGAGATGTGTAGGAGGAGGAATTCAATCACTCTATACTAGGTATCTGTCATAATGAACATTGCAGCAAGTTTTAAGGTTTGTTAAATGTTTTAATTTATTAAATATGCTTAATTTCAGGAATTTCCAATGTATGCCAAAGTTTGGACTATTTGGACAAGTCATATAGCTTTTCCATAAAGTATTTAAGATTTATGAGAGCAGACATATATACTAAGTATGTGCATTTCAGAGATTATAGAAATTTACTAATGCAAAATTGAAAGCGTTTGTGCAAAGAAGCATTGTGAAGAGTGAAGACTTTGTTTTTTCCCTTCCCCTCCACAAATTATACCAACATCTAATGAGATGTACAAGTGTTATTTTGAAAAACCAACTTTACAACTTTGGCCCAGGGGATGGGGAGTGGAGGGTGGGAGTGGAGGGGAGATGGGAAGGGTTGGGAAGTGGAAACAAAGGAGGAGGCAACAATGTACTCATTACCTTGCCCATGTAATTGTACAGTATTTCACAATAAAATAAATAAATAAAAAATACTTTAACTGCACAGTTTCTTTTAAAACTTTATTGTTTACTTACTTTATATGTTGTTGTGGAACAAATGATGATATGTCATAAATACTAATTCTAGTGGGGAACTTTAAATACTACTCTTTGCCTATAAAACTCTTGTTGAACGTCATAATCTTAGTCAATTTCAAATAACAGGAATAGCAGAAAATAGTAACATCAAATATCTAGTACACTTCAAATACTGGAAACATTGGTAATTATTTTGTTTTTTATTTTAGTACTCATTAATATTTAATTATTGTTTTCCTTGTAATACAATACAACTTTTGCTAAGTCATCATTATGATGTACTTTGAGTGTTACTCGGATGGACACCCAATTTTTATAGGTACATGTGAAATTACAAAGAGCAAAATTAAGAACAAATTATTGATTAGTAAATTTCATCAAGTAGAGTCTGAATCAGGAGTATTGATAAACGTCACACACCAAATATCTTAGCCTTAGGCTGAAGCAGAAGAATCACAGAGTTGAGGCCAAAAAAGTGAGAATGTGTATGTGGGTTTTTTTTTTTTCTGCAAAAAGCTTTATTTTCGTTTGGTCCAAGGCTTGGGAAGGGCTCCAGGATAGTTAGGAAGTTTCCCAATGGCTAGAGGCAGAAGCTCGGGCATAAACCCTGATATTTTGTGAGGCAGAGATGGCCCCTCAAAGGCTGCTGGACTCTCGAGTTTTCTGGTCATGTTTGAGAGTGAGGCGATCGAAAAGATACTTGCCCAGCTGTGCGTGAGGGGCCGCCCCCAGGCTGCGAAGGTTGGTTAAGTGGTCACCCATCTTCTTGATGAGCTTCACCTCTTCATCCAGGAAGTGGTTTGAGGGAGCAGAACCCAAGGCATGAAGATCCAAAATGGCTTGGTTCAGGTTCTTCTTCAGGGCCAGGGCAGCTTCCATGGCTTCCACGGTTTTACCCCACTCATCCTGAGAAGGTTTCTGCACATCCTGGAACAGCGCAGGGCCGCAGCGCTGGTTCTGCATCTTCAGGAGGAGCTGGGCGCCCTCACGCTTCTCCTCTGCCAACTCGCGGAAGAAATGGCCCACGCCCTCCAGAGCAACATTGTTGCAATTGAAATAGTAGCCCCGAGAGAGGTAAGTGTAGGAGGCCCGCAGATGCAAGTTGACCAGGCAGTTGATGGCAGCCTCCACCTCGTTGGAGTAATTCTGACCAATCTGGGAGGTCATGGCTGGTCGTCAATACAGAGCTAACCACAGAACAAAACGGCGTTGGTTCGTCCTGGAAGCAGGCAACCGGCAAGAAGATAAGGGTCAGAGGTTGTGGAGAGGCAGTTGGTGGTGGAAAGGAGGAGTCCCTGGGTCTGTTCGGTTCAAACACTGTTGAAGCAAGACACAGATCCACGGGACTGGAGCATGCTTCTCTGTGTGTGGGGTTTTTTAATCATGTGTCTTGTATTCTGGGGCCTGGACACTGTCCCTCAGCTCTTCAGCTCAAGGCTAGCACTGCAGAGCCACAGCACCACTTCTGGCTCTTTCTGCTTATATAGTTCTGAGGAATCAAACCCAGGGCCTCATGCATTCAAGGCAAGCACTCTACAACTGAGCCACTGCTCAGCATCTGAGAGATTGTGTTTTCAAAAATCATCTAAACAACATTTGTTTTCTATTTTGGATCATATAATGAAATATATGAATATCTTTTTTATGTTTTTGTGAATTGTCATACTTCTAAATTTATATTAAGTTCTGCCACTGTATCCCGTCATATTCATGAAATATTTCTGAGAGATTGTTTTGCATTTATAATTCCTTCTGAGAAAGTTTTATTTTTTACAAAACCACTTGATCTACTATGTTAATGGGTTATCGTGTATCAAATACCTTCAAATGAACATGTAGAGTCTAAAGAGAGCAGTATGAATATTCTCATAAAACTCTTGTTGATCTGTTATGCACTTTCAATATTAGGATATTTCTCTCTCTCTCTTACTGTCTCATTCACTCTCTTTCTCTTTCATTTGCCATTTCTGCTATTTAGAATTTTTGCTGGTCTACCATTATTTTCCAGGATCCAAAGGATTTGTGGGAACATGATAAGGACCATCAATATTGTTTGCATTCTTTAACAGTTATAACAGTGTCATGATATTATTCATTCCCATTCTACATGGCAAAACAACAGATCTTGGAATTTCTTTTCATTTTTACTACTATAATAAATTTAAATTTTATCTCTTAGTAATCATTGGAACAAATAAGATACATTTAACCTGTGACCTAAAAGTTCTTTTTTTTTTTTACAAACAACATTTTTATTTTATTATTGGAAAGTAACTATCATGTAATTAAAACAAAGCTATCCTGTGGAAAATCGACTGAAGTTGTTCACAGGGACGAAAAACAAGGTAATGAGGGAAGTGAGTACACAGGATACCCATCATAGAGGACTAATCCTCAGTGCAGTTTATCATGTACACTTTGTGAAAATGACCATGTGCTGGGAACTAGAGATTAATTCACTGAACACCTGATATAGATATAGATATATCCATATATATTTATATATGTATATTTATTAATATATGCATTTATGTGTATATATAATCTTATATATGTACACATGTATATTACTATACATACAAATACACACATTTGTATCCACATGTATGCATGCATATATGAAGGAAGACACATAGTTTTAGCTAATATAAATTTCACTAGTTGTTGAATATGTCTTAAACAGAATGCTCGGAAACAAATATGTTGAAGTTTTTTTCTCTAAAAGTTTTTTAGCATTCCTCTTACCTGTTAAAACTGGTAAGTTTTGACAGATTGGACTTGAAAAATGCAAGTAATACAAGTAAAAATCTCTCAGTAAGTAAAGGTCATATGGTGTGTCCCTGCTCCCCACAGAATGCTTGCTCTTGTAGACACTCTCAACAACCAAAGTAGCAGGAGCATACTCTAGTAAAGAATAAAGTTATGACTTTAAATGGCATCCTTCCTTGAACTCTTTTCCAAGAGCCAGTATCAATTTCTAAACAGATTAGTGAGTATTCAGATGACAGGAGCTTAGGTCAACATTTTAAAAACCCATGTGAAAAGCCCTATATGAGAAACATTATCTGAGGTCTTGCTGATTTCCTGGAAAGAAAGAAAGAAAGAAAGAAAGAAAGAAAGAAAGAAAGAAAGAAAGAAAGAAAGAAAGAAAGAAAGAAAGAAAGAAAGAAAGAAAGAAAGAAAGAAAGAAAGAAAGGAAGGAAGAAAGAAAGGAAGAAAGAAAGGAAGGAAGAAAGGAAGAAAGGAAGGAAGAAAGGAAGAAAGGAAGGAAGGCAGGAAGGCAGGAAGGCAGGAAGGAAGGAAGGAAGGAAGGAAGGAAGGAAAGAAGGAAGGAAAGGAAAGAAGGAAGGAAGGAAGGAAGGAAGGAAGGAATGAAGAAAGGACATTTAATGTGTTAAAGTTTGATGGAAATTTGTAACCTGTCAATAAATGTGTAGAACACAATTATACCAACTGGCAGAAATGATGTGCATTTCACTTATGTGCCTGGGGATTTGGTAAATGATTTTAGGTGTGTCTACACAAGTACAATTAGCATGAATAAAGACCGCATTTCTTCAGTTAAAATATAAAGAAAGGATACAAGTTGACCTGTTGTAACAATGAGATGTACAAAACACTATGTTGGCCGGGACTGGTGGCTCATGCCTGTAATCCTAGCTACACAGGAGACTGAGATTTGAGGATTGTGGTTCAAAGCCAGCCCGGGCAGAAAAGTCCGTGAGACTCTTATCACCAATAAACCACTAGAAAACCAGATGTGGTGCTCTGGCTCAAGTGGTAGAGAACTTGCCTCGAGCTAAAGAGCACAGGGACAGCACCGAAGCCCAGAGTTCAAGCCCCATGACTGACAAAAAAGAAAAAGAAAGAAAGAAAAAGGTACTGTGTCTTGGTGGGGAGAGGTGGAGGAAGGAGTTGGTGAGGTGAGAAGGGAAGGAATGGTAATGGAAAAAAAAGGGGGAGGTAACAGTGTTCAATAAGAAATGTACTCATTACATTACTCATGTAACTGTAACCCCTCTGTTTAATATCTTTAGAATAAAAATAGATATAAAAATACAAGGAAAGCTTCTCTACTAATAAGTAGTTTTATTTGTCACTTAACATCTGTAAGGTATTGGTTTTAGGACCACAAGCTTATTGAAATATTCGATGCTCAAATTATCTATATAAACAGTATATTATTTACATTAGAACCTACCCACAACCTAATGCAATATAATTGCTATGAACTATTAACAGATACAAATTTTTGGATATTTTTATCTGCATTTTGTGGATGGAATAGGGAATGCTGTTTTGAAAAGCACAAATTTCAGGACCAAGAGGTGTCTGCAAAATGTAACAAGGCTCTAATACAGCATCATTGAATACTATGGAACTCCTAGGAGAAGTACTTGAATTAAGATATATCTGAAACTGTAACCAACCAAGGACTTTTAAGAAATGCATCTGCTAGAGTTCTAATGGAGATCTTTCATAACACTTGGTAAAACACAAGTAAGAAGCTCACTGAAGAGTAGAGAGAAGCGAAATGAATGCAGTTTTCCCTCACCTTTCTGTCATGCTCAGCCACTATCTATAAACATGGAGCTAATCCTGAATAATCCTCTAATAAGAAAATGTTGATGGAGTGTTCATATGCAGAAAACCTGGGACAGATAACTGTTTCAACTAGTCTGTATTCTTTGATCCAGAAGAGAGAAAATTAGGTAAGCATCCACTTACAACCTTCTAAATAATTCTCATTCTGCCCACATCAGTTATCTATCCATGCCTGTGCCCGAGTGAGAGGATTTTAAAAGAATTTAGTGATTTAAAATTTAAATTTAAATGTGGAATAAATCAGTTCCAATGCATTACATTAAAATATTTAGAAACAACCGAGAAACCTAAAGGTCTATAATTATTTTTATTTCAAGTGAAGGGATACTGAATTTGATTGGCTATGTTTTAAGCATTTTCCAAAAGGTTTTGGCATTATCAAATACAGTGCAAAGAAGTGTTATATCGTGTGGGACAGACATACAAAGCAACAAAGAAATCATCATAAGTGTGTTAGAAACAATAGCAAGAAAGAAAAAGAAAAAAAAACAGTTGAGTTCTTATTTTGGGGTTTATTTCACCTAACATCAACTTATCTGACCGTTTCTGCTTATCTCAGACATAATAGGTTATTGCTAATAAGGGAAACCAATGGACCTATATTTCTTTGGGCCTGGTTTACTTAACCTAATGTATTTGATATTGGTATAATTTGGGGAGGGGAATGGAAAAAACAAATTGATTAAATACGGATGCAAGTGGACCCATTGCAACAATGAGATGTATAAGACATTATGTTGAAAAACAAACTACAACTTTGGCATGGGGGGGTGAGATGCGAGGGCAGGGATGGTAAGGGGAAACAAAGTAGGAGGCAATAATGCTTGACGAGTAATGTATTCATAACCTTGCACATTTAATTGTAACCCCTCCGTACGGTATTTTCACAATAAAAATTAATAATAATAATAATAATAATGACTCGCTATTCTAAAATAAAAAAAATCATTGGCAAAATAAAATTTACACTTGCAGCAGACATGACACTTGCTAGTTTTTGTATATTGAAAGGAGCACAAACCCTCAAAAATATATCAATGCTATATTATTATTTATATTTAAAAGGTATATGCTTCTGGTGTCTTAAAATTTCAATTTTTTTAAAAAAATCTTTTTTTTTAATTGTGAAAATACTGTACAGAGTGTTACAATTACATGGGCATTATAATGAGTATATTTCTTTTTTGTTTTGGGTCCGGTCATGGAGCCTGAAATCTGGGCCTGGGCAGTGTTCCTCAGCTCTTCAGCTCAAGGCTAGCACTCTACTACTTGAGCCACAGCGCCACTTCTGGCTTTCTTTTTCTGCTTATATGGTGCTGAGGAATTGAACTCAGGGCCTCATGCATGCAAGATAAGTGCTCTACCACGGAGCCACCTTCCCAGCCCATGAGTACATTTCTAAACAAGCATTGTAGCCTTCTCTTTTGTTTCCCTTTCTCATCCCTTCTCATCCTCCCCACACCATGCCACCTAATCCTCCTGCCAACCCCCCCCCCCCAAAGTTGTAAAGTTCGTTTTCAACATAACGACTTGCACACCTCATTGTTGCAATAGGTCCACCTGTATCCCTATTTAAA